TGATGATCTCCACACTTGTTCTAAGAATATGTTCAGCCAACCCCACAAGTCCCAAGAGAGGATCCTGCTTAAGAGACCTGGTACAGACAGTGGGACGGACAGGTACGCCAACTCCCTGCCTTACAAAGCTCAGGGTAACAGTTGGAGGTAAAATTGATTTATCCTGGGACAAAACATTTTCTGAGGAACTGCTGCTAAACTGGTACCAGAACATTGCTAGCATGAAGCCCTTTATTCTAGGTTATATTTTTGCTTAGCAAGTATTTCCATTGTGAGATTTCCCAGTCCTAATCTAGCAAAACATTTCTGCAGTATTTAGCCCTCTTTTCTTCTGTGAGTTACTAAAATAAAACGCATTGTTAACACAGTGTATTATTTGCTTACAAATAGAGCAATGCCAATTAAGAACCTCTCCTTTAATAAGAAATTAGTAACTCTACACTGGATCCTAGCAGTGCTGCTCAGCTTGTTTGAGAATACATCAGCTTCTGATTTAAAGACTTTTGTCTGTGCCTGATAAATCTTACGCCTGGTCCCATAGCAGACACCAATTTTGTCTCTTACTGTCCACTGGTATTTATGGCCTTTCACTTTCATTCCTTATATATCCTGCTACAAACTTCTATACACCTGTTAATTTATAACGTGGTTTCCCAGATTTCCTTGCTGGGGATGGATAAATAAATAAAAAAAAATATTAAAAAGGAAATAACATGTTTAATTATATTAGGTTTTTTTAAGTAAATGTATATTATATTTGAATGTGCCAAAGAAAACCCAAGCAACATTAAAATATTAGCAAGGGTGAAAGAGGAAAAAAAACCCACTCAAAGAGGAGAATGTGCCTTATCAATGCCACGCAAATTTCCTTCACCACTGCAAACCAAGCAGCATGCTCCCTTTACGGAAAAAACAATGGATCTTTGAAGGCTAAAAAAGTACCTTCCCTTCACCATTTCTGGAAATCCAGAAGATAGCGGATTGTAGCAAAACCAACCAGAAGCTGAGGGTGAGGCAAGCTGCGTGCAACTATGGAAGATGAGTAACTGCGAGGAAGCCATCTCCCAGCCACCGACAAGGGAGCTGAGGTACAGGCGGGGTAGCAAACGCCTGGCTGGTTCAGATGGGGATGGATGTTCCAAGCTCTTGCTGCAGAGTCAAATGTGACCTGGGCCAGCCGGTACCTCTGCAGAGTCCTTTGCGCTCTTACTGCATCTCGCTAGGTTGGTGTATCCTTATTGATAGCCGTGCTACAGCAAATACAACAAGTTAATATGTAATTTATATATGCAGCTTAGCGCTATGAGCCTATCCATTTAGTAGGATGATTTGACAATGTCTCTACATGCTACAATATATACTCACAAATACACCAGCGCACACAGGGTCTCGTTATCAGGGAGAAATCAGCAGGACAGCTATAAAACAAATACGACTCACATAAGCACACTGCTGAGGAGGCTGTCTGCAATATATGTTCTGATTAATGTCTGGAATGGCAATAGTGCAAGTTAATGCTTCCTTCAGTCTTAGATGACGTGCTTGAAAAGATCTCTGGGAAGGTCGTGCCCACATTTATGACTTGACTGCAAACTGAGCAACCCCTCAAACACTGACCTTGGATTTGACTGCAGTGTAAGTGCTGGAGCAGATTGCTAATTGGGGAAGACCCATGGACACCAATGACAGCTCCTTCTCCTACCACCACAGGGCTCAGCATCCTTTGGGGTTAAATTCCTCCCTGTTTCAGAGGAGGGAATGAAGCAGTTGGTCCTTCTAATGCCTGCTGCTATCTGCATGAGGTAAATCAACCTTTGGAAAACTTTGGGAGAACTTCTGCAAATACGACCAATGCACTTAAAATATCTTCCACCATCTACAAGTATCAAAGAGTCTTGGGCTCTGACTCTCCCTCTGAAATGTGACTGGACTACCACAAAGAAGATGCCCTGCACAATAACCAAAAAAAAAAAAAAAGAACATAAAAGCACTGAAATCATGTAGAAACAAACACAAAGAGGCTTCTGCCCAATGCGGTGAGAGAGAAAACGATTAAATTGCATGAAAAACCTGTTGCTACCACTTCTGCATTTGGCCAACAAAGAGGGCTAGAGAGGCCCCACTCAGTAAATATATACTCTTGTTGGATCAAAGGGGTAAGAATGGAAGTGAGTCCTCAGGCTTTATGGACCTGATCCAGTTGGTTTTTCTACTAATTTCTGTGGGCTTTGGCTGGTGTCCAGGCAGCATAAACAACCAGGAGCGGGGTTAGCCTTGCTTGGCAAGTAAAAGCCCTGCCAGCACCACTAATTTTCAGACTCTCTGCCCTAAACCTGGGCTTTCTGCTCAACTCCAGAAGGCTCCATAAGCAGCCAAGCACTGGCTGGTGCCCATGAGGGTTTTAGCAGGACCCAGGAATGCACGTGGCAGCACAAGGATGCCCAACGTGGTGGCTCCCACCACCTTCCACCAGTCCCTGTTCACGTCCAGCCATCCTCAGGTCGGGCAGCACGGTGGTGGTGATCTCCCCCAAGCACGGACACCGGTCGGAGACTTTCCGTATCGGGCGAGCAGCTGCTGCCTGGCTCCGTTCCCTTGAGGAAGGGCTGAAAACGGAGCCTCCGCTGAGCTTCGTGGTAGGGGAGCCTTACCCTGCAAAGGGCTCGGGGGCCGGGGAGATGAAAGCAGATGGTTTGCTTTCCATGCCGTGCTTTCACAAGGGCCTGCAGAAACGCAGGAGCCCTCGGATTAAAGTTTTGGGGGCAGTTCTTCCTGCTGCCTTGCCTCCAGCAATGACTTGGGGCTTGTTTACATTAGAGAGTTGTACTACCAGTATTTTATACAACCGTAGTTACATCAGTACAACACCTGTATTGTATCTATCGTTGCCTTGGTGTGAAGGTGAGTATAGTATTTCTGAGCCCTGAAAAAGGAAGGCAACAGCATGCAAAATGGATACCTGCTGTTGTGATTTCTGACATTCGAACTTGGTAATGACCACAGACTTACTGTGAAATTGTAATTGGTTTACTAAAAATAAGACACTGCTTGATTGGAGACAATTATTCCTAGCTTACAGTGCCCAAACAGGAATTAAAGCCTCGGTTTGTTTTTTATCTTATTTTTTTCTTCCCTTATTATTAAAGGGGAGAGGGAAAAATGAACAATGAATTACACAAAATAAGGGATTTCTGCCAAGCAGCATAATTCAGCTGAATACAAGAGACTGCTTAACATTTCCGATGTACAAAGACACTGAAACTCTGCAAGTCAACAAATCCACAGAGTAACTTAATGGAAACGGCACTTGCGCTTTGGGGAAGAAATTGCTCCACTTTGGTAGAGCCTGTACGATCAGGCTGCGACTGCAGGATAATACTGTCTTTAAAAGGACAGAGAGCTCCCGTTCCCTGATCGTGCCTGCCATCGTGGACAAATAGATAAAGCTCTGGGCTTTACTGAACGGTGACAGATTCAACCCCAGGACCTTTAACTCTTTCGCTGGAGCTGGGCACCTCTGCTTTCTGGGCTGGAGCTTCCCAGTTTGAATGGTCTGGATGACAGCATTACCAAATACCTGAGAAGAGCTTTGTGGCAATGCAGTCATTAATGCTTAAAAACCACCCAAATATCCTGGCATTCGCTGCCAATGGAGTTAAATAGTTGGGGTCTGAGAGAGAAAAGCGGTGTCAGAAATGTAGACCCTGGCTTCTGTGACAAAGAGCCGAGAGATAAAATATCAAAGAACGGGATTAAATTAGTAACAAATATATCAATCAAGAAACCTGATGTTTTAAGGTGCTAATGCTACCATTGTGCATTAGGAAAGACACGCTTAAAAAAAAAAAAAAAAAAAAGTTGCTATCCTGCAGATATTATAATCTAGACAAGGCAACCGAGAGGAAGGAAGAGAAATTAGTTTCCCCGCTTTAGTTGTTGGCGGCTGGCGAGGCGCGGGCTGGAGGCTCCGACCGGCACCACGCAGCGCAGCTCCGGATGGGCCCCGGTGCGCCGCTCCCCCCAACCCGCCACCCCTCCCCAACTCGGCCCCTTTTCTGTCCCCAAGGGCAGCGCGAAACCCTCAACACCAACCTCGACCCGGAGTCCCAACCCAGCGCTCCACGGCCCCCCCCCCCCCCCCCCCCGCGCTCCTCCCCCCCCCCCCCCCCCATTCCCTTCCCGCCGCCGCTGCAGCCCCGAAGCTCCCGGGACAACCCACGGCAGCGACATTTCCGCGCCCCCCCCCCCGCCCCCCCCCCAGCAGCCCCGCTCCGGCTTCCCACGGGCCGAGGGAGGCCCCGGGGCTCCGGCAGCCGGACCCGCTCCGCGGGCGGCCGCGCTTCACCCCCGGCGCTGCGCGGAGGGGCTGGGGGGGGGGGGGAAAGAACCCCGGCCCCGCACCGCCACGCTCCCTCCCTGCGAGGGCGCTCACTTTTGATAGGATTGCAGCTAATTAAACGTTAAAATTCCAATCAACTACCGGAAAGGTCATTTTGAAAAAACCCGGAGGCAGCTGGTATTTATCAGCTGACGCGCAACTCAAGATAAAACCCTGGGGGGGGGGGGGGGGGGGGGGGGGGGGTGGAAGCGCCGCAGCTCTCGCCCCATCCCCGTCGCGGGGCAGGCACCGCGCGAGCTCCCGCGCTTTCCTTCGCCCTCCGCGGGCGCGGAGGCGCCTCCGCTTCTCCGCCGGGCAGCGCCCCCCCCCCCCCCCCCCCATTTTTCCGCGGCACGTCGGCCTGCAGCGGGCGTGCGCGCTCTCTGCGCGGCGGCGCAGCGGAGTTGGGAGCGGGACGGCCGCGCTGCCAATGCAGCGGCCGGGAGGGGAGGGAGGGGAAGGGGGGGGGCAGGAGGAGGAGGAGGAAGAAAAAGAAGAAGAAGGGGGGGGGGGGGGGAGAAAGGAGGAGGAGGAGGGGGAGGGCGCAGCCGGCAGCGCACACCGGCCGCCGCCGGCGGGGCTGGCCGGGGCGGCGGGGGCTATTGTGTGCACCAGACGGGGACACACGCACACGCACAACCACACACACACACACACACACACACACACACACACCCCACTCGCACACCCGCGGCTCGGAGGGAAAGTATCGCGAGAGCGGCCGGCTAACAACCTGCTCCACAACACCGCCGCGCCGCCGGCCCCGCGCCGCACCCGCGGAGCGCCGCGCACATGCGGACGCTGAGCCCCGCCGCACGCCGGTGAGTGCGGGGGGAGAGCCGGGCGGGGAGGGCGAAACCCGCCCCCCGGCCCCTGCAAGGGGAAAGTCTTCCCTGCAAAGTTGGGGAGCGCGGCTGTAAAGGGGGGGGGGGGGGGGGGAGCGGGGGGGGGGGGCGCGCTCTGAAAAGCGGCTCCGCGGTTTTCCTTTTCCCCTCCCGCCCCCTCCGCGCTACGCGGAACCGGGCGCCGGCGAAGGTCACGGCGGCGGGCTGCGGGGAGCAACTTTGCAGCGGGGGGGGGAGGAGGAGGAGGAGGAGGGTGGGGAGGGGTTCGGGGGTGGGGTGGTTGGGGGGGGGGGGGGAGTATGGAGGGGGGGGGGCGGGCTCGGGGCAAGTTTGTGGGATTTAATCGCGGGCTATAAATGGGGCTGCTGGAACTTTAAAAGGCAGCAAGCTGTGGTTGGCTGGTAGCGAGATTTGGAGTAACATATGGCATTAAAAGGCGCACAGCTGGAGGTAGCATTTCCATCGCAGTGAAGTCAGAGCAGCTGACTCTCCAGCTTGCGGTGTAATTAGCAAACCGAGCACTCCTCCTTCCCTCCCTCCCTCCCTCCCCTCCCTCCCTCCCTCCCGCCGCGCCTCGCTCGCACTCGCGCACGCACCGCGCCCGCGCTCCCTCCTGCCCGCCCGGCTCCGCGCCCGCGGCCGGCTCCGCCGCGCCCCGCGGGAAGGTAAGCGCCCGGCCGCCGCAGGTAGCCGGCTGCAGCCTCAGCCCTGCCCTCCCGCCGTCCCTACACCACTTATTCCCCTCCCTGGCTTTTCAGAACTTCACGGGAAACTTTTTCCCTTCACCGCCCCCCCCCCCCCCCCCAGCCCCTCGGCCTTTGCCGCATCGGGGGCCGGGGCCGGCTCTGCCCCCCCCCCCCCCCCGCCCTGCAGAAGCGCCGCTGCCCCAGCGCCAGCCGCCGCTGGTTTGTTGTGATTCGGTGCATAACGACTGGGGATAAAGTTTAAATGTGTGTGTGTATGTGCGTGACGTGGGTGATATGCTTTAGTAAAAGATGCCCCGAGTTAGCGTTGCTGGGAAGGCAGCCTGGGAGTTCGTGCTTTGCTTTTTTTTTTTTTTTTTTTTTCTTTTTTTTCTTTTTTTTTTTGCGCGTGTGTATGTGCTTTCCTCCTCTTAATTTTCTTAAAGTGCTTAGGGGGAGAAACAAAGGTTGGAGGGGCTGCTGCTTTACTAGCTTTTGTTTACTTACAATCAAGTTTTTCCTGTTCGGAGCAGGTGCGAAAGGATGAGAAGCATGTTGTTGTTGTTTTTTTTTTTTTTTTCTCTCTTCCCCCCCCCCCCCTTAATAAAACTATTACAGACAATTAACAGTAAACGTTATCTCCAAGGCTGTTTCTTTGGCTTGTGTTACCAAAAAGCCGATCTGTTTGTTACAGCTGCTAGGAGGCTTTAGTTTACAGTAGCATTCAAGTTTTTCCTGTTTTGAACAGGTTATGAAGGAAGAATGGAGTTTCCAGACCATAGCCGCCAGTTGCTGCAGTGTCTGAGTCAGCAGCGTCACCAGGGCTTCCTGTGTGACTGTACTGTTTTAGTTGGAGAAGCTCAATTCAGAGCTCACAGAGCCGTTCTTGCCTCTTGCAGTATGTACTTCCATCTTTTCTACAGGGACCAGTTAGACAAAAGGGATATTGTGCATCTGAACAGTGACATTGTCACAGCCCCTGCCTTCAGCCTGCTGCTCGAATTCATGTACGAGGGAAAGCTGGAATTCAACAGTCTCCCGGTCGAAGATGTGCTGGCTGCGGCTAGCTACCTTCACATGTATGACATTGTGAAAGTCTGCAAGGGCAAGTTGAAAGATAAAGAATTATGTTCAGAAGAGAAGATTAATGATGAGGCGGCTAGTTTGGAGAAAGCGGAGCATTTTCTAGACGCTGGAGTGCCCCTAGTCCACGAGTTTGACCCAGGAAACAAACAAAAATTCAGCGTTGCAGAATACGAGAGAGCAGCAGGCAAAGAAAAGGTCAGCAGTCACCCCGCCTGGTCCTCTGATCATATAAGTGTCAGCTCTGTGCCGACAGAGGCAGAACCGTGCGCTGCAGCAGCTGGAAAAACAAAGGCTAATGTCAATAGTTCCACAGGACCTTTGTCCCAAAGGTCTGTTAACCATACCCTGGCTTCGAGTGATGTGGACTGCGCGCTGGATTTGTCTTTCAAGCCTGTGCCGGGGAGAGATTCCTTACACCCCTCCTATGTCTTTGGACAGCTGGCTTCCGACAGCCAGCAGCAGGGTACCGAGCCACTTGTTAAAGATGAACAAGACTTGCTGTCAGATCAGGAGGACGGCGAAGCCAGGAGTCCGGAGAGTCAGCATTTTGGGAATTCAGCCAAAAGCCTAGTGACAGGGTTAGGACACATGTTCGCGGGGAATGGCAGCTCTCATGCCCGAGAGGAGGATATAGATCAAGAGCGAGACGAGAGCGAGGACGACATGGATTCGTCGGACATCTCCTCGGGCGTCCTCGTGCCCCCCGGGCATATCTGCATTTGCCCCCTCTGTAGCAAGGTGTTCCCGAGCCCCCACATCCTCCAGCTGCACCTGAGCTCCCACTTCCGCGACAAGGACGGCTCCCGCACCCGCCTGTCCCCCGACGGCTCGGTCCCCACTTGCACCCTCTGCGGAAAGACTTTTTCTTGCATGTACACGCTAAAGAGGCACGAGAGGACTCACTCGGGGGAGAAGCCCTACACCTGCGGCCAGTGCGGAAAGAGCTTCCAGTATTCCCACAACCTCAGCCGCCACGCGGTCGTGCACACCAGGGAGAAACCCCACGGGTGCAAGTGGTGCGAGAGACGGTTCACGCAGTCTGGGGATTTGTACAGACATATCCGCAAATTTCATTGTGGCCTTGTCAAGTCCTTGGTTGTTTGAGATGTGTGGGGTTTTTTTTTTTGGTTTTTTTTTTTTTTTTTTCCTCCACCCCACCTCCTCTCCCCCCCTCCCCCCCCCCCCCCCCCCCCCCCCCCCCCCCCCCTTTTAAAACACGACGGGAAAAAAAGGCAGCAACTGAATTTTTATCCCCCCTCCCCTTTATTTTATTTTAGTGATATTCACTTCAGGTATATGATCTTTAAAAGATGCAGAGGTATACACTCCAGAGGCCTTTTAATGCAATCCTTCCACCTTTCCATCTCCCCCCTTCTCCTGCCACCCTCCCTTCTCAGCACTGTTCTTTAGGTCTTCTCTTGCGCACCCATGTTACATTATTAATGTGAAATGATCTAAGTAATTCTGCAATGATTTAGCATCTGTTTTCATGCTGGAAGTACTTGCTTTGTGGTCAGGGATTTTGGTTTTTTGTTTTGTGGTTTTTTGTTGGTTTTGGGTTGGTGTTTTTTTTTTTTTTTTTTTAGTTTGAAAAAAGATTATCAGCAAATTCTGGAGAAAAATTTTGGATTCCATTAAGCTCCCCTAATGCTCTCTGCATGTTGCATAGAAACGTCCGAAGAGATGAACTATGATTTAAATACATTTCAGTGTAGAGAAGCTTGTCCGCATATCACAGAGTAAGCAGACGTATTCTTATTTTATAGAGCTAGATGGGACCTTAACATGGCCCAAATTATAAAGGGGGGTGAGGATTCCTGAATGCATCTTTGGTACTCGTCATTTTTTATTCTCTTTATTATATTAGGATAGTTCTGCAATCAGTCCTAAAATCTGAATGAGAAGTTTTTGCCTTGAGACTTGACTTAAATTTTCCCCTCCTACCCATCCTCCTCCCTGGGCTGACCTACTGAAAAGCTGCTTTTGAGCATAAAACGTGGATGGAAAAACTCTTTGTCTGCAGCATATTCACTCCCAAAATATTGAAGGGTGCACACTAGGACATGCAAAAAAAAAAAAAAATTCATATAATACGTGAATATTTTCATTCCCATATTGATACCCAGGGGCTGATCCTGTCCCCCTGGGGGGGACAGCGGCTCTAAAGTGGCTCAATAACCCCTCTCGATATCAGGCTCCTGGGGTGTGGTCTTAGTTCAAGGTAACTCGTACCGCGTGCGTTAGGAGGTGCCCTGCTATCTTGTCCGAAAAGTTTGCTGCTATGCTAAAATCAGCAGCTCAGAATTTTGTTTTATTTTATTTTTTATGAAGTTGGTGATTCCCTCTGGGCCGAATTCTGTGCAATTGCCAGTGTTTTGAAGGGGCAGTATGAAGATAAACCCCCGGAGGGAAAACATGGCCCAACTTTTTCCCCCATGTCCCACCTTTCCAGGGGAGGTTTTTGGGGTATTTTTAGGTGTTTTTTTAGTTTGTTTTGAAACTGAGGCTGCCTGTAAACAGTAACCAGTTTTACTCCAGATAACTCAATTACTTGCCTAATAGATCATCTTTTGGTCTGTGCATGCCAGTAAATACCAGATTATTTCCTTCCAGTCAAATTACCCATTCAAGTTACATGTACGTGGGACTGAAATATAATACTACTACTAATAATAATAATATCTGAGGGGTTTGAATGTCATTCTGCTGCATTAGCGTTGCTTCACCAGCTTTCTTGACACTCCTGGAGTTCTCTTGTGAAACTTAAGCGTTTATTTTGAAATTAATTTGAAGCACTGAGTGAGATTATTTTTAAAAGTTGTGCTTAAAATACTGTATTTCATTTTATGAAGAAAAATATCCCAATGCCTTCTTTCTCTGGTCCAAAAACTGAGCACTACCTACATAAATAATATGGGATTGATTATTTTTTTTAATTTCTGTTTTTTAAATTAAGTACTTCCTCTTTTAAAGAAAATCAGGATATACTTGTTACAGCCTCCTCTTATTCATCTCTTAAACTATGAATGTACATGTAATGTGAAATTTTGCTTCTATTTATAGTTTTGGGTTTTGTTTTCAGTCTAATTTTTTGACTGTAAAATATTTTTGCTGAACCTGTTACATATGAAAGTTGTTGGAGAGTACTGTATCTTGAACATAAGTGGCTTTGGTACTGTGGTCTTATTCTACTTAATCATTTTTTTTTTTTTTTTTGTTTTTGCTGTGATTGGAAATAGCACTGAACAAAATTACTAAAATTAAGTTATTTTTCTTTCTACTAAAATTAAGTTATTTTTTTTCTCCTGAAGATACTTGATATAGTATTTATTAGATTTTTTTTTTGAAGTGGAATTATTACTGTTAATCTATTTCAAAACTAGTTAATTTACACTTCACTTTAAATTTTGTAACAGTGGGTTTTGCATGTTGAACAACATGTAAAGAGTTTAATGTAGAGTCAGCATTACTGAAGCTGGTAATCTTAATTTTGTATTCTTGTGACACTTTTTGCATTTCAGTCTTCAATTACTGTTTCTGTTTTTTTGTTTTCTTTTTTTTTTTTTTGTTAGAAGATCATAAAATAGGATGTGCCATAAGAACATCATTAGCGTATGGAGCAGGGAAAAGTTGAAACAAGTTTGTGTCTGATCTTAGTATAGAAATAATTCATTAAACTGATGCTATGAGCATGCTCTGTACTGCAGTGAATATGGGGCAAAAGTTGTTTGTTTTTTTTTTTTTTTAAAAAAAAAAAAAAGGAAAAAAAAGACTTTCTCATTCTTGACTACATCATGAACATGCTGTTCTCATAGTCTGGTATTTGTGTTCCCACTCCTCATAGCTTGAATTTCTAAAGTAAAAAAATGTTTGCACTTATTTTTGTTCTTAAGGTGACTTTTTTTTTGGCTATCTCTCTGTGTGTCTTTCTTACTTTTAAGTTGCAATAGCTTGGAGCATGTTTTCAAAATGGTTCATGACTCTACAGAGAAGTACTAAAAACATGGCACACTTACGCTTGTCTCTTCATAAACTATTTCACTGTGGGGTGGTTACTGTCTCTGTAGGAAGCAGTCCTGCTCTGCGTTTTAAACACTGGATTTGTCTTCTACTACAAACAAATACTGTGAAGTTAATGTAAAAAAAAAAAAAAAATCATTGATATTTTTAATTGTTTTTAATCTTGGTGCAGTTCAGATTAAATATGTATATTTAAAGACACTAATTTTTGTGGGAGAGTTTTATAGTATACAGTATGTAGAGAAGCTATTGGAATGGAATATATTTTATAAAAACGTTCTATCACTGTTTTATAGTGAACTATTTTTTCTTCAGTGTTAGTGTAATACTGTTAGTCTAGATATGACAATCGCAGGAAGAGTGATTCAAGCTACTGTTAGCGCTTAGTTTTGCGTGGAGTTCTGTTTGCAACTGTATTGGTATGTGCTGTACAATGTGACAATCGTGACTAGGATTGTTGTCTTTATAAATTTACACAAAATAAAACGTGCTAGAGTTGTAAGCTTGAGCTGCCTCCTCCTCCTCCCCCCTTTAGCGGAAGGCGTGTGGTGTTTGGGTTTATTATTTATTATTGTTAATTATTTTATTATTGTTAATATTTTATAGGGTGTTGTGGTGCTTTTAACAACTATTATTACGTACTCTAATATTTATTTCTTTTTCAGGGCCATGTGGAATTTTAGGCATCTGAGGAGCTGCTGTATCTCAGAGCCTGACCGAGTATTTCCTTAGCCGCTGGTCAGAACTAAAACCAGCACCACTTCTGCATTTTAACCAGAGCATCGGGGAGATGTGAAGAGGTTCACCTCTCCCTCTGATGCTGAACGGGCTTTGGACCAGCCTGGCCCCGGGCAATGTTGTTTCACAGCCGCTGGTGGGTGCCGGGGACCGGGTGAGGAGCCCATGGATGCAGGAGGGGTGCAGCGGGCACGGACAGCCCGGTGTCCCAGCACTGGTGCCCACTGGTGTCCCAGTGCCACTGGGCTCACTGAACTTGCCTGAAGGGGTTCTCCTAAGCATTGAATGTCTCCAGGGTTTGGGGGAGCTGCGGTCTGACCCGACTCCCACTAACATCTGCCTTAAAACTCAGGTTGGCTTTAGCTGGAGCTGGGCTTAAAGGCAGAAGACGGGATCTGTCGGTGCCAGCTGCTGCTCAGGGGAGGGAAATGAGCTGGTGGGTAGGTTTGCACCTGTACTACACATGCTGCATCTTGTGTTTCTTAATCATTTGGAGGCAAAGGATCCTGGCAGAATCAGACTGCCTTGAAATGGTGCTGGTTGAGGGATGGGCAAATTACAGTTAATGCTGGTGTGGAGGCACAGCTATGTCCCCTCCTGCTATCATGTAGCTGCCTCTTTGCAATCATCTCAAAATAGGTATTTCTTGTGCTCAAGCATGCGTCCTGCTTTGTGGAGCTCATGCCACCATCCCCATCTGTGGGGAAGGTGGAAAGCTGCTGGAGATGCGCAGCGGTCCTGCGTCCTCTGGCTCCGACGTGGTGAAGTGTTAGAATCTATAGTTTGTTTTTTTTTTTTTTTTTTTAATTATTTTTTTAATTTCTACCCTTCAGGGGGTGGACGTCCCTGCAGCTGCTTATTTGCGACACTCTTTTTCACTCCGACCTGCTGTCATGGATGTATGGATAAAGATTTAAAAGTGTTTTATCCCCCCCACCCCCAAAAAAATAGCTAAATGTGCCCAAATCTGGATGCTGTGCTGTGGAAGGGGCAGGCAAAAGGCTTTTCTCTGGGGGAGAAGGGTGCTCAGAAAGAAGCGAGCCTGAAGCTAAACCTGGGAGGTGGATGGCTTGCAAACAGGCTATAAATAACTGTGCGTAGATTGAGGAGAGCAGCCCACATCTACTTTGGCATGGGCATGCTGTGCCCATTTTCTTTGTTGATAGCAATTGCTAATGTGAATTCTGGCACTCCAAATCCTGATGCCTGTTGTTCTGATAACATAATTAAATCTTAGGAATGTGAAATATAAAAAGCTTTGAGAAGAAACCAGGCCACTAAGCGGATACTGGAAAGGGGGGTGGGGGGTGCGTACTTACTGAATAAGGAATGGGATCCTTCTAGGCAGGGTTCCCTTCCTGCCAGCTCGCGGGTGTGCTGGGAGTGAT